GTTTCAGAGGTACAGGTCTGTGATTCAACAGTCTTATACAGTTCACAGCGCTCACCATAGCACATACCCTCCCCAATGTCTATCACCCAGCGACCCCATCCCTCCCACCCCCCACCACTCCAGCAACCCTCAGTTTGTTTCCTGAGATTAAGAATTCCTCATATCAGTGAGATCATATGATACTTGTCTTTCTTTATTTCGCTTAGTGTAATACCCTCTAGTTCCATCCACGTTGTTGCAAATGGCAAGATTTTGGGGTTTTTTTTTTTGATGGCTGCATAATATTCCACTGTATATATATATACCATATCTTCTTTATCCATTCATTACTAACATCCTTTTAAATGTCATATTTTGAGGGTACCTGGGTGACTCAGTCGTTAAGCATCTGCCTTCAGCTCAGGTCCTGATCCCGGGGTCCTGGGATCAAGCCCCACATCAGTCTCCCTGCTCAGCGGGGCCTGCTTCTCCCTCTCCCTCTGCCTGCAGCTGCCCCTGCTTGTGCGCTCTCTGTCAAATAAACAAAATATAAGTAAATAAATAAATAAATGTCACATTTGACATAATATAGGACTCCTCAAGTTGGCTTTAGTTCCCAAACACTGTAGGTATCGCAGATCACTAGATGGAGTTTTGTACCCTGGAAAATGCAACAGATTACCAGAACTAGAATCATGAAGATATACATGTCTTTATCAGTTGTTGTTCCAGGTTAACTAAGTCATGCTGGGTTCCTATATTTCGTTGTCAGCACTTTGCTCAGAAATCCTGAAGGGGCTGAATGGGTGGGGCTCATGGTTGTTTTATGGAAGTCTTGCTATCAAAGATCTCTAACTTAGATCTGGTGGAGGAATATGGATATTTTTTATTTTTTTTAAAGATTTTATTTATTTATTTGACAGAGAGAGACACAGCAAGAGAGGGAACATAAGCAGGGGGAGTGGGAGAGGGAGAAGCAGGCTTCCCACTGAGCAGGGAGCCCGATGCAGGGCTCGATCCCAGGACCCTGGGATCATGACCTGAGCCGAAGGCAGACACTTAACGACTGAGCCACCCAGATGCCCCGGAATATGGATATTTTAAAACTGTCCTTTCAGAGATCTCAGGGAGCTATGAAAATGATTTCTTCTGTGGTCACAGAATTTATATTGTGAAGTTCAGTTTAGAAATATAAAGTATGGTGATGCAAACTGTAAAATTGTTCATTGATGTCTTACTTTCCTAAGGAAAATGAAAGAAAGACCTAGAAAGTAGCGTTCTTATTTCCCTTTTGTCATTATTCTGTACCTTTATTTTTAGATTAAAAAATGTTGTCAGTAGAACTATCAGTGAAATAGTGAAATATTAGGAAGTGGTTTCCTCTAAACATGCCCCACAACTACCTACCACGTACATAAGAAATTTCCCAGAGGAAAACAGTCATGAAATTTTAGGTTTTAAAAAAATAATTAGCTAATGACAGCTATTGGATAGCATTTGTGTTTGGGCTGTAAATAACCAAGGGAAATGGAGCCTTCACCCCACAGGTGTTATTTTGATCTTATGTGGCTGGTCCAGAGGTACGTGCAGCCAGAACAAAGGCTCGGCAGTGTCATCAAGGATCCAGGCTTCTCCTCCTTGCTCTGTCAGCTTTAGCAGGTGACATTTGTTCTTAGGACCACAATATGGCTGCCACGTCCCTAGGTGTGGCATCAGGCAGGAAGAAGGGAGAAGGGCCAGAGCCAAAAACTGGGGCCGCTGAGCCTAACTCTTCCGAAAACTTCTCCTGGAAGATCCTCGCAGCATCTTTCACCCACATTTCCTTGGCTAGAAATAGCTAATAGAATCCCTAGCTGTAAGGGATTCTGAGAAGGGTCTATGTTAGCTTTCCAGATCTCAATTTCAGAGCAGGACTAGGGAAGAGCAGATGATAAATGGCTAAAGGTGGCTCAGTTGAGCAAGTACTGTATGCAGGTTTTAAGTGCTTTGTTTCTACTGTTTAATTCTCACATAACTTGCACGTGAGATCAGGTCTGGTTATTATCCTTACTTTCCAGAAGAGGGACTGAGGTTCAGAGTGGTTAAGTAATGAGTTGGTTAAGATCATGCAACCCACACTGGACAGAAGCTGGATATGCAATCAGGCAGTCTTTCTTCCAGAGCCCGCCCACTGCACTACACCAGAATCACCTCAAAGAGACCTCAGAGTAAGCTTCGGATTTAACTTCATGGAAAGTATGTAGGTTTTACTTATTAACATGAAAGACCTCTCAGACATTCCCTTTTTATTCTTTGGCTGGCATTTATGATAGATCTGATAGATATTTCTCCCAGTCCAGTGACAGTTTATATTTCTTTACAGCCTTGTCAACATTTCCTCTTTGCTGTGTATTTCCTCTCCATGCTGAGGATATATCCAGACAAATGCAAGGCCTGAAAACTGAGCTAACTATTAATAGAAGAAACAGGTGTTTTCCATAGCTGGGAAGTACTTAGGAATGTACCATCTACTGGTGCGATCATTTAAAGCTTTGTGCTTGGAACATTTTGACCGGTAACCTGCACTGTTCCTGCATGAGATATGAATTATGATATTTACAATAAATAGTACACCTTGGTAAAGAAAATTAAAAAATAAATAACCACAGCTCTGCTATTAGATATGTAAATTTTCATTTAATGATAACTTGTTTTATAAAGTGATTATCTTCCTTCCAGATCTAGAATTTAATATAATGATTCAATCATAAACACCTTGGTATTCATAAGTGTATTTTAGTTCCTTTGTAGAAGAGTTGCAAATTTTATGAGCTTGGATTTATTCTCAGCTTTTCCCTATGCATCATTTAGATTAAATCAATCTGTATCAGATTCAGTTTACTTCTTAAATTTTTTTATTTTCTTGTTAACTAGTTGAGAAGTCTGAGAACTTTGTGAGTTCACAGGGTGAGTGCACTGTTTTTGGCTAGGAAGTAGGGGTTGATCTTTTCCTGCAGTTCACTGGGATTTCGAGGTCTTTTTCCTGCTGACACTTGGTCCCACGGAGAAAAAAAACAGATAACCAGTTGTTAGTGAGTCAACCATCCTAAAAATAAAACAGAATTGGTCAAATCTGTTGTAACATCACTCCTGGTTCCGAATTGCAGCAGTGCTAGCTAGCATTATAGTAACTGGTGTTTAGACATCCAACACGACTCTTGTTAATATATGTTTGAGTTATCTCTTTTACCGTAGGCTTTTTTGATAATGAAGCGTACCCCAAAGGCAGTTATTTTCAGTTGACACCTCCAAAAGAACACTGTTATCAGAGGGTACATTCTATAGAGGACTTAAATGATATAGTTGACACCCCTTCCTACCCTGAAAAAGAAAGAGAAAAATGTTGGCTCTATTAATTATTTTTTTGGTGGGGTTATGCATGAAAATGACTAACTCATCTGTGTTTTTGTGTTTGTTGCTTTGGCTGGTCTGTTCGTCCTTTGGGCATGCCTGCAGCGCTTTAAAGATCAGTATATTGGGTAGTAACTGCATGTGATTGGAAAACAGTCTTGAAATACACTTTTGGGTTATATAGTAGCTTTCTTTCCAAAGTGTTAATATTGGTGCTCTCACTTCGTGGGTTTAAATTGTCTGAATTATTGAGTGTTGGATTCTGTACCCTCCCTTCCTCCCTTCCTTAATTTTCAGAAGCAGAGTCCATTTCATTTTGGTTTATGAAAATGTGTGTGACTTGCTTACTGTTGTCTTTATCCATGTTGTTTTCTAGCCAATAAACTGCTTCTTGCAGTCATGGTCGAGCTTATTTGTTTTACTGATGAGATTCAGTCTTGAAGAAACAAAATCTCCAATATTGACATTTCAAATTTCTGAGGATTAATTTTTCCAATATTTCTGACCAAATAAAGTTGATGCATTGTGACAGAATATGTGGCTTTTGGTGGACAAAAATAATTAAGAGAATTGAAAGGATCTGTAAAAGTTTTTGTAGAAATTCCACTTGGGGATGTGGTCCTATTGTTTTAGGTTACTGAAAACCATTCTGGTCACTGTTATCATGGAATGTGTGCCCTAAGAAAACAGCATTTACAATGAACGATGGACACATTGATCGTGCTCTCAAGTTGTTCCTGTTGTTTGAAAGTAATCTTACAAAAGGCATGTGCTTGGTTGCATTTGTTGCGTGGCTTTGTACAAACCTTACCTAGGATTGATTGGCTGTTGAGTTTGGGGGGTAGAAGTTCATTTGAGGCAGTCTGGATTATGCTGGGAGGTTGTTCCTGCAGTCATTTGCCTTGTGTTGGTTCCAGGGAAGCTGCCCGGGAGTGTCGCAGGAAGAAGAAAGAATATGTCAAATGTCTTGAAAATCGTGTGGCTGTGCTTGAAAACCAAAACAAGACTCTCATTGAGGAACTCAAGGCCCTCAAAGATCTTTATTGCCATAAAGCAGAGTAACTGTCTTTGACTTGGACCTTGTTTATTATGAACTCTAATCAAGGCAGGAGATGCAGCAATTCTACTAATTGCCATGTGGACTCGTGGAAGGGACACTTGTGACCCTTAAGAATCCAGTTTGGCTTAGTGTTTGACATTGAATTGGGAACGCTGTTCCAAGATTTGGAATGCAGCCATGATCACATTTACCAAGCTTACTTCAGTCTGCTTGTCAATAGCATGCAAAAAAAAAAATGTTTTGTTTGCCCTTTTGCTTCTACTTTTTTTCAGGGAAGCTGCTAAAGAATGTCGACGTCGAAAGAAAGAATATGTAAAATGTCTGGAGAGTCGAGTTGCAGTGCTGGAAGTTCAGAACAAGAAGCTCATAGAGGAACTTGAAACTTTGAAAGACATTTGCTCTCCTAAAACAGATTAGTAGAAATATTTAACTATGAACTGATTACAACATGTACAGTTGCTTTTGAAGGCAATACAATATATAGCCAGCAAGAATTATGGCTTTTTTCCTTTGTATCATTCATCGTATTCTCTAACCTCTGACATTCCTAAAATGCTTCACTGTACGTAGTTAACTCTTAGCTGTAACTTCAATTTTTTTAAAAAGAGACAAGCTGTAAAAAGAAAAAAAATGTATGTAACAAATTCTTAAAATGCAATATTTGTAAGACTTGCTCCAATGCCACATATTTGCAGTTCCCAACCTCTGTGTCATGAATAGTGTCCTATGCAATAAAATTTTTTGCAGGTCTTTAGAAATCATTTTAGGAGAGGATGATCAAAGATAATGCATCCAGCAGTACAATAAAAGCAAACCACAAAAAAATACCTCAGGAAAGAATTGAAAGAAAGAATCGAAAGAATCTAATGACATGCCTATATGAAAATAAGAACCTATAAATGAATTTATGGCATTTGCAGATTTTTATGTTTAGTTGCTTTGTAAAGAAAATATTGTATTGTTGTCCTTGAATGCCATAGTTGAAGAGAGTTTTTAATAGAACCATGTTGGTTACACTTTGTAGTGTTTGGTGCTCATTTAACTATCTGAACATTTACTACAGTTTTTACTCTATTGTGTAATATAAAAGATCTTGCAGAAGTTCTTAGTGTCGGTTTGAATGAATGAACCTAATGAAAGTTATGACAAATTTTTAATATCAGGAATGTGTTAAAAGTAAAAGTTAAAATTATATTTGCATACCTTCAAGGGTACGCGAGCCAATTTCTACACCGGGTTATGCTCTCTGCAGATACTCTTTCCTCCATCTCGTCGGAAGGATGGCCCCAGAGCTGTTACGCAGAAGAGCAGCTACGAGAGATTCAGGTCGTGTGAGGATGGACGAGGCCTTTCTGCAGATGGGCCCCTGTTTTGAGTTTTAGTTAACAGCCCTAGGAGTTTTAAAGTAAAAACAAAAACAACCCAAGATTTTATTTTCCATTTCAAAACAGCTTGAAGTCTACATCAGATCAAAGATTTTTATGTCAGCACATTCAGATGAAGTCCATTACATCGAGACAGCAGTGTTCTTACTGGTATTTACATTTCATTCTGTTTTTATAATAAGAAGCTTTAAGATATAAGCCCGAAGCCCTAATCATAAGATGCTCTGTCATCTCTCATTCACTCCTGAGACATTTGTTGAATGCCTGCCATGTGCTAGACTCTGCTATATCTTCTCTTATACCTTCTGATTTGTTAAGGATGCCCCCCCAACCCCTACTTTCCGTAGTGAAACCTGGTCAGTGTGTTAGGGAGGTACAAAAACAGGAGGTCATTGATTGGTATGGTGTCTAATTGCTGTTCCCCCCATGTCATAATTCTTTCCCTTATAACTCCCAGAAGTTAGGCCATGCCATTTTTGGCTTTCTTTAGAAAGACTTACCTTCCTTCAGAGTCTGAGCTCTGAATTTCTTTTATCTCAATTTTTGTCTTCTACAGAGAAGATGAGGAAAGAAGACAAGGAAGAAAAGAGGAAAGGAAAATCCCATGTTTCAGGTGAAGGAAAATGGTGCTTTATACTCAGTCACTGTAAATCAAATGTGTGCTCAGCATGGTAGAGTTGAGAGGGAGACACAAGGATCAGCAGACAAGATGTAAAAAAGTTAGACAGTAAATGCCATATGTTAGAATTAGAGACAGATGTAGGCAGGGATTAAATAAGAAACTGTTCGTGGAGGAGGCAGATTTTGAACTGGGCCTTGAAGTAAGCGATGGTGGTGGGGAGGAGGGTATTCTGGATGGGGAATACAGAGCATGTGCTCTTCTCCAAGGAGCTTGACTTCAGGAGATGAATTTAGGAGAACGTTAGTACTCACAGGAGAAGTTTAGTCTGTAAGAGAGAGAGGGAGTGTGCATGCGTTCATGTGTGCTTTGCTCTACAAAATAGGTTATGTTATTTCGGAGGAAGGGGATTGCATCTGATTACTTGGGGTCACAGAAAGCAGATGTCTCCCCACTCCCCAGTGGTTTAAACAATAAGGAAATTTCGTTCCCTCACAAAACAAGCCCAGAGGTAGGACATCCCAGGGTTGCTTAATTTAGTGACTTCACACTGGCATCGTGACCAGATTCTTGCTACGCATTTTGCTCTGGAATACTAGTGAAGATTCTCCCCCTGGGACAGAGGGTTTCAGGCTTCTGTGAACATTTGGCATCAATGTGGGACCAAACGGGTTCTGGTAGAATGGCGTGTAGGCAGCCCACGTCACAGGCTGTGAGGGTGAAGTGAGAGCGCCTCCGCTGTCCCGGAAGTGGCTCTGTTGTCCCGGAAGTGGGGAGGAGCTTGTAAGAGGTGGGGCTTGAGCCACGCTCTCCAAGGCCTATGGCAACTTTTAATTCTTGCGCCTCCAGTTTGTCCCTGAAACAAAAACTTTTGCTACTAAAAACAGCACGGTTTGCTAGCTCTCCATTCAGCCTTAAGCAGTATTGCCTACAACCTCTCGCTGCCCAGCCAGCAGTGAGCTGGAAGCCGCACGAACGTTGTCCGTCTCGCAGAACAGTGTTGCCCAGAATCCAGAGCTGTCACTGCATTCGCGTTGTTTCTTTTCTCCTAAAGTCTTCAGAATCTGGACTTATGGATGTAGAAATTACCAACCCTGAATCATGGGATTATACCGCCTTGTCAGATTTAACTAGGGAGTTCATGATGTTAAATCATTTGAAATGGAAAAATAAAGAAAATGAACTGCTGTGTTTTTAAATGTGTTTGAGCACTAGGCTTGCCCGAAACAGGACATTTCGCGTCAGCAACCACACTTCTCAGTTTTCTTCAGATATTCTTCTTAATGTCCAGTATAATCTGTTTCCTGAGTGCCTAAACTACACTTTTTTTTTTTTAAATGAGGACTTGTGAAACCAACACACTGTTTTTCCAGTCTAGAACCAAAAATAAATGAAGCAATTTGGCCCTGTGTGGGACAAGCCGAGCTGCGGCCAACTGGCTAGCCATGATGCACTGACTTTCTTCTGTTTTAGCATGTGCCAAGGTCTTCAGGAACTTAAATGTGGCTCACCTTTTCTAGGGTCATCCTAAAGACACAGGCCTGATTCTGAACTACTCGAGCATGGTATATTTCAATATTTCTCCTTTGTGTATAGCTTATTTCTATATACATCCATCTTATCATAGCTACACTTCATATTTATACATTTTAGAATTCCAAATGTATTTTTAGTGCAAAGCATTTTTAACGCAGTATTGTTTGTTCTTCAAAGATCCATTTTGCCATTTTGTACTGTGTGATAGCTTACTTACAATGAGATTTAAGATACTTCTTTTCGGCGGGGGTGGGGGGGTTTTGGGTGCCTGGATGGCTCAGTCGGTTAAACATCTGCCTTCAGCTCAGGTCATGACCCCAGAGTCCCAGGATCGCCCGGTCAGGCTCCTTGCTCAGCGGAGAGTCTGCTTCTCCCTCTCCCTCTGTCCCCCC